AGTATTGCAGCAGAGGCTCCCTTGGAGCCGACTAGCAAAGGCCCTGTGTGTGTCGATAGGTGTTTGGGCCTGAGCAAAAGGCTTTCACTTGTTCCAGTGGGCCGCGGGCCCATAAATCCAATCTGGCCACTTAAAAATATTTGCGGTGGTGGGCGTCTGGTCATCAGGCCAGGTCTGCACTGCACCAGGGCGGCTCCTCCATTCGTTTGGTCTCTGAATCTCCCAGGTTGGTCCCCCAGGTGTAGAGCTGGCAGGAAGGGGGGCTGGGCTGGAATGGGAGAGTCCTCTGACTCAAAGATGCCCCCCAGTGCCTCTGCCATGGTCCCCAGGGATCCTTGCCTACAGTCCCCAAATCCTGTTTGTGTCACCCCTTATCAGAGGGGGACTCCCAGGTCGCAGCCATGCACCCTGGCACACACACCAGCCCTCCCTCCCGGGGGGGGTCAGCGTTAACACAGGGACAAGCACCTCCCTCATCAGACCCAGGATCTCTGGCAGGGGCTACAGCCTCCCTTGCCCCAGCACAGCATGCAGCAAAGCAGCCCCCACCCCCCATGCCTGGCTAGACACACACAGACTCTGCCCTGCACCAGTGCGATCCCTCCCGCACTGGGTCAGTCCAACCTGTCTGTACTCTGCCCTGGTGCTAGTGTGTGGTATGAGCGCAGGGTGGTGGGGCGGTGACATGGTCTCATCTCCTATCAGGTCCAGGCTGGGTCCCCTTCGCCAGCGGCCGGTTCTCCAAGCTGCTTCCTCTCTGCCCTCACTCAGAGCTCCTGAATCTTCCTTTGTTTTCTCCGAGTCTCCAGGGTGGGTTTCTCATCCTGCCCCCACTGTGACATTGCACTCCATGTTTTATGGAAATATGTTTATAAGTGTGAACATGATGTAACTGGAATATGCTTCATGCAAAAGGTCTCTTGTAAGATATCATTACAAAGCTTATGATCTACGAGTCTGTTCATCCTATTTGTTTGCATGTATTATTTCTATGTCTGGAGTTAGGAAAATAAGATATACACTTGTGTTACTGATGTAAACATGTTAAGTGGAAGCCATTAAGGGGGCTTCAGAACCAATGAACTGTGAATGGATTTGCTTACCTGAAAGCCCTCCTGTGTACCTGTTTTCTAGCTCCTAGGTAATGAAGAAGGAGGGCTTACAGTGACATGTGATCATGTCACCTGAACTGGAATCCATCTTAAACCTGGTGCTTTTCCATTTAGAAGGAGGGGTGAGGATCCAGAGAGACAGAAGATTCCCGCCTTGTGCCAAAGCTATAAAAGGGGGTGGAAGAGAACAAAGGAGGTGGCCAGGCATGAAAAACCCCTAGTTACCACCTGAGCTGGAACTAACGAGAACAGTACCAGGGGAAAGGATTGGGCCCAGACGAAGAAGACATCTAGTCTGTGAAAGCAGCTTATTGGAACATCTGTGAGGGTGAGATTTACTTGTATTCAGTTTCATAAATGTATTAGGCTTAGACTTGCGTGTTTCGTTTTATTTTGCTTGGTAACTTACTTTGTTCTGTCTGTTATTACTTGAAACCACTTAAATCCTACTTTTTATACTTAATAAAATCACGTTCGTTTATTAATTAACCCAGAGTGATTAATATCTGGGGAGCAAACAGCTGTGCATATCTCTCTAGCAGTGTTATAGAGGGTGGAAAATTTATGAGTTTACCCGGTATAAGCTTCAGATAGAGTAAAATCGATTTGTTTGGGGTTTGGATCCCATTGGGAGCCGGGTGTCTGGGTGCTGGAGACAGGAGCACTTGCTGAGCTGTTTTCAGTTAAGTCGGCAGCTTTGGGGGTGTGGTTCAGATCCCGGGTCTGTGTTGAAGCAGGCTAGTGTGTCTGGCTCAACAAGGCGGTTCTGGAGTCCCAAGCTGACAAAGAAAACAGGCTCAGAGCCAGTTGCAGCACATCCGGCGACAGTCCCAAGAGGGTCTTTGTGACAAAATCCATCATACCCACATCTGTTCATTGTTCCATTTCTCCCAGGGGTCAGAGTGAATCATGTTGGTTTGCCTGACACTCCCCAGCTGCGTGCAGAGTGGCAGGCAGGGGGAGAAAGGAGGGTCTAGGGAAGGAGGTCTCGCTCAGCTCCACAAATGGCACTAAACAGCAGGGAGAGAAGGGCAGTCTTTGCTTCACAGGTGCAGAGGGTCTGGCCGAGTCACAGGCTGCGCTCCTTGCACACAGCACAGTCAACATGCTGTCCCCTTTGGGCTGGGGCCCACCCCCTACCTCCAGTCTCTCAGCACCACTACACCAGAGGCCTCCTCCCTCCTTGATGCCCGTGCTGGTTCTGGGCATGCTGATGAGACACCTTGGCTGCTGGTGCTGCTATGCGACCTGCTGCTCAGGATGGGCGTGAGGGACCTGCTCATGCTCACCTCCCCAAAGCACCCACCAGCTGCCCCCGGCAGGAGCATGAACAAGTGCTCTCATTCCCTATTGCTGCTGCTCTTCCCGTCCCTACTGATTGCTCCAAGGATCATGCCTGAAAGGCAGGAGATGTGCCCCACTGACTATGTGGGCTGAGGCAGGCTGAGCCTTTCTCTAAGCTGTTGTCTTCCAGCCAGCCAGAGCCCAGCTGCTGGGAGGAGGGGACTGAGCTGGAGCCTTTCTCTAGGGCAGAGCCAAAAGAACCCTGTGGGACAACTCTGGGCAGGGGCACCAGAGCCATTTGGGTTGTGAAGGAGGGGAGCCACTGGCTCACTGGTGCTGGGGAAAAGGGCAGAGGAGGCCCAGTTGCTCAGGACTGGGGCCAGGCCAAATGTCAATTTACCTGGAAACAGTCAAGCTTGGTTCTCCCTCCTCAAATACCGTAATACTGTCTCTGCAGGCAAACTGCCTCCAGTTCCAGCTGGGGACACACCCAGCCCCCTGCCGTCGGGGCCTCGCATTGGCCAGTGAACAATCCTATTGGTGACGCAGGAGGATAATGTGGCTGGGCAGACTCAGCTGTGCAGACTCTGCTGGGGCCGCAGGAGCAGGGCTGAGAGCATGCAGGACAGAGCCAGGAGTGCTCCGACACTGGCATGGTGCTGACTCCCCCCCACACGTTGGAATTAAAGTGCACCCTGGGCCCCACAGGGGGTGGGAACGGCCAGTTACTGCTGTGGCTCTGCCTTGCGGCAATTTCCAGTTGTGGGATTTGCTGCCTGAGCTCTGGCTGTAAGGAGAAAGCTCTCCAGTACTGCTGCTTCTCCAGCAAACTGGGCAACCTTTCCCCATGGTCAGCAAGCACCTGCCTGCCTGAGGGCTGCTGCCTGGGCTGCCCGTCTGAGCCTGCCAAACACGCCCATGCTTGGATGATTCCTTTCGCTGTCCCAGCACTGACGTTCTGCTGCAGATATTCCGAACGTTCTGCTTCCTCAGTGGTAGGGCAGTGCCCTGTACAGAACAGCAGTAATATTAGTTACCAAGTGGCCAGAAAGCAAAAGGCCCCTCTGTGACCTGACCCACCCACCCTGCAGAATCCGGCTTTCCTCAGGCAAGAAGAGGAATTTACCCACGGTGAGACCACACACCTAGTACAGTGCTGCTCTTTGAGTGACCCACTCACAACACCACTTCTTGGGCTGTCCTAGTACACAGGGACAGTCGCGAGTTAAGGAGCCAAAAGACAAGGACAAAGCACAAATCAACCATGCGACAGAAAAAAAAAATCATACAAAGCTTACAAGCTGACTTCTCAGCTGAAGCTTCCCTTTGCTGTGCACTTTATTCTGGTCTCAGGTGCATGTACCACCCCAAGGGCCTGCTTCATGTTTACAGCGCGCTGATTTAATCCCTACAGCTGAAACTCAAGGCATCAATCCCTCCTCTTCCCCCTTCAGTTTCTTTGTTCAGTGACTGAACCGTGTAATGGTGCTTTGTTTTAGAAGAGGGGGAGGAAATACAGCTGTTAGGGCTGCATTTCTTATTGCCCAGTGAATGTAGTGGTCCGCACAGACATGCCCACTGTGTTTCAGGTGTGTTCAGCAAAGCCACTGCTGTTAGTGGAGAGGGTACTCTCCCTCCTTGTACTAGAATATTCCTTGACACACCACGTTCAGATGGAGGTATGACTGAAAGCATGCGTCATTAGAAATGTTAGGGTAAAATATAACTAATGTAATTAACCCAAGAACAAGGACTACAAATACAGGAAATTGAGAGCTGAGGTAAAACCTAAATCCAAACATGTCAAGGTCTAGAACTGCACAGTCAGGGTAGCCAAACAACTTTAGCTCTGCTCTGCAGTGACTTCCCATTACAGCCATATGAATGACTAGGACGAAGGTATTTAGCATATGGGGTCCCAGATTAGATCACACTGAGGTTATGTCTACACTACCACAGTAAGTCGACCTACACTACGCAACTCCAGGTATGTAAATAACGTAGCTGGAGTCGATGTACCTTAGGTCTAGTTACTGCGGGGCCTACATCATGGGTGGGGGGTGTCGATGGGAGAAAATCTCCTGTCAATTTACCTTACTCTTCTGTCGGGGGTAGAGTACAGAGGGTCGACTGGAGAGCAATCTGCAGTCAATTTGGTGGGTGTTACTAGACCTGCTAAATCAAGCGCCAGTGGATCGATCTCAGAGTGTGATCCTCACTGTAGTATAGACCTGCCCTGAGTTTTAGAGCCAGCAGCTTTTCTCTCCTCACTGCCCTTCCCCCACCACTACAGGGCAGAGTTAAAGCTGAAGTTTGAAAAGGCAGGCCTGGCTCCCTAAAGGGACTGAGGTGTTGTGACTGCTTTGCAATGACTAACTATATAGGTGCCTACAAAAGTCACAGGAACACACTGGGATCCTCACAGCCTGAGTTTGGCATCTACACGCCCTGTACAAGGAATGGGGGGGGGGAGAGAGGAGCCTAAGAAGGGGATTTGCAAAAAGCCAGCACACTAGGCAGGGAACCTCCGAAGCTAGCCAATCAGAGAGCCCATAACATGGTATTTCAACAATGCTTGGTTTCAGAAAGACTGAATGAATTAACTTCTTTGTAGTGAAGCTTTATTTTTTTAAAACACCTTTATCAAGCACACATCAGCTCAGCAAAAGTGCATAACGGGGTACAACAGCTTAGATCTAATCTGAACAAAGGCATGTGTTTACAGACCAGATTACAGCAAAAAGGAAAGATAAGGAACAGGCTAAGAGACTATCACAGTAGATGTAGTGCTCCCATGAAGAGTGGATGGAGGCTAGTGCGGAGCAAAATTAAACCAGCTCGGGCTTGTGTTTGGTTTGAGGAGTAACCGGCAGTGAACAGCTACACTGCTCTTCAACCAGAATCACAGCCTTTGCATCTCCTGACAAACAGGCTGCAGAGTGTTTGCATCTCTGAGTGCTGCTATACAGCTACCTTGGGGTGTCAGTGGAGTAGCCTCTAGGTCACAGTCTGGCACAGGAGTAATCAGGGGGTCATTAGTCAGTACCACATAATGGAGAGCTAAGGCAGGTTCCCCTTCTTTAGGAACATCAGCCAGAAACCAAGCTGGACCTAATGGATCTTTCCAGCATGAGCTGTGGCACATTGCGGTGTAGTTGAGGATTGTACAGCACAAGCAGGTTCCCTCCCATTGGCTTTGGTTCATCATCTCTCTCCAGTTGCTGTATCAGCAGTTGGACTGCCTGAGCACAGGTAGCAGAATTCCATTCCAGGAGCCTGCTGGTCACTGGAGATGGCACAAGCTCACAGAATGCCATGTGACCCCAGAGAGGGGAGCACCCCTGGCTCTCAAATATTTTTGAACACCATGCATGGGCGGAAGCAACGTGAGAAAATCAGAGCAAAACCAGGGCCGTGCTCTCATATCACGTACAGAAGAGGCTTGCCTTCAGCTCAGGTTTGACATTTTTTGCCTGATTAGGTTGCCAGATTTGGACGAGGCCAAGAAACAGTTACAACCAAACATTTTAATGTCAACGCACACTTGGAGGGAGCAGATGGTTTCAAACACTCCTGTTGTATGATCCCAAGGAAATCTACACAGACAAGAGCACACTGCACATTCCCTCAAGTTCTCTTCTTAACCAGGACTCAGTGATACTGCTGGTCCCACACCATTGCCTTGATTTCCCTATGGAAACAGTTTACAAGGAAAGTGTTCCAACAGGTAACCCTATAAATCGTGCCTGGGTTCAGAGCCAAGATGGGCTCCTTCCCTCTCCTGCTTCAGCACCGTGACAATGGCTCTGTAGGCCAAACCAGGGTCTCAGTTCTACACGAGCAATGCTACAACCTCCAATGGATTGGCAGAGGTGCTAGTGACAAGAGCAGAGTCAATTCTGTTGCTGCACAAAGAGGAAAAGTATTCAGCTCACTAGTTCTTCTATCACCTCCCAGGGAGGTGGAGTACTCACCTCGATGGGAGAGCCGCCCCCATCACTGTAGTAAGGGTCTGCTCTTAAACTGCTCTAGAGCTGCAGCGGTGCTGACGTGGTTTAAGTGTAGGCATAGCCTAAGCTAGGAGCACGTTCATCATTTCAAGGCTAGAGTCATACTTCAATACTAACTAGACAGGGCCCCAAAATATTCTGGGGAGGGATTTCCACTGGCCCAGCAGTTTAAAAAAAAAAAAGAAAAAAGACATGGAACCAATATTTCTGTTGTTTGCAGGCTTGTGGCCTTGTTGGTCCCAGGATCTGAGAGAGAGGAGGTGGGGGAGGGAATCTCTTTTATTAGACCATCTCCACTTGGTGAGAGACAGGTTTAGAGCTGCACAGGGCTTTTCAGATATGCTCTGAGTAGCTCCGAAGCTTGTGTCTCAGCAGCAGAAGTTGGTCCCATAAAATATTACCTCCCCATCCTTGTCCCTCATCAATATGAGGACAGGTTAGGGAACACCAGTTTCTGCCTCTCCCCTAACACAGCTGCACTGAACCCCACAAGCAATGAGCTGTTAAAGTAGACACACCTCTACTTACAGTTACACTTAGGCAGATTTTTTCCAAGACACTGTTTACTGCCCACAGCTTGTGCCTTGCTGCTTCACAGTTACCAGTCACATTGCTCGTACACTAAGTCCCGCATTATGGACAAGGTAGCCTAGAGGACAGAGTGGTTAAGAAAGCACAGGTATTTTGTTAGTTAGCTAGTTTAGCGTAATAAGAGCAATGGTCTCCACTTGTTCCAGTCTCTAGCAGGCAAAGCAAACACCAACCCAGTGATAGTATTACAGAAGTGCGCTGCATGCCAGCGCCAGGCCCATTTTAGTGCAAACACTGTCAGAAATCCATCCAAAGTGCACTTCATTGCTGGTGAAGTCTCCCTGCCCCTCACGCAGGTCAGACTCCATTCAAAGGACCTCAAAGAATAAATCAGAGCTTCATTCAAAGGTCACCTGGTATCCTTTCCCCACTACCCCAGCAATACAAACCCCACCAGTGACATGTGAAAATCCTGCCTGAAGCATCACGTGCTGCAGAGATTGGGAGGGGTGGGGAGGTTCGGCCATTGTTCTGCTCTAGTCCAGACAACTCTTGTACAAACTGCAGCAGGAGCTGGGTGATGCCCATTGTCCTGACTGGCCAGGAGACTGTTGCCCCGGCTGAGAGCTTCCCTCTGCCGACCCAGTCTCCCTTGTACAAACTGGTGACAGCATTTCACTCCACTCCCTCTCCGTGCACGTATCCCTCTGCCCCAAACACTCCTTTGTTGACTGTCTCAGCACAACCATGGAAAGTGAACTCTATCTGCTGTCCTGATTTTCTCCCCATTTCACTGAACCCCTGGAAGTCTCCTACATATTCCAACAGTATTGTGCTACAAGCATAGCATTGCATCTATGGCGGACATCTTTCCTCAGCACATTGGCAGCGCATGAGCTGATGCACCATTCTTTTCTCTTTGCTGACGCAGTATTGCACTATCCCAAAGGTCACGTCTAATTGACCATAAGTCCCTAAAGACTGTGTGCCATGGCTATTAGCCAGCTTTATACCTATACCTAGGCCCATCATGCCCATGTTAAACTACATTAGTGGAATGCATTTTACGTATGGCTATTCGTGAATAAATATCTTCTACTCCACATTCACCACCCTGAGAGCAATCAGTGAAATTGCTAGAGGTTCTTGGTGGAGAACAGTCTTAGCTGAAGGTTATGGGCACTACAAAGCCCTCTAGAGCACGAACATGGTATATAATATGGGAACTTCAGAGTCTGAGCCGCCACTGAATGTCTGATGGCCAGCAGGATCTAACAAACATGGCACAGATAAAGGATCAACAATTTCCCAGTACACCTGCTCTATGTGGTCCCAGAATTCCCAGAGGTTAGGACTGAAGCTGTGATGTCTGCACACGATACTTTCAGGCACAGAACTACACACGCCAGAGCAGAACAAAAGGCTGCAAAGGGCTGGGATGAGAACATGACAGCTCACAGGGCAGAGACTTGAGGCACTGGCGATCAACGAAGAGCATCCAAGATCTCCAGAATCAAGTCCTGGTTTCTTCTTTGGAGAGCCTGAAGTACCTGACTCAGCAATCAGCTCTCCTTGAAGTGGCCACACAGCATTGTAACATTGATTGATGTACGCACGTAGCACATGATAGTCCCGCCTGGCTGAATCCCACTTGCCCAGTCTGAGCATGGCCGATGCAGCAGAAACTACGTTTTCATTTTAGAGTATTTTTCTAGTCCTGCTGGTTGGAGGGAAAACCTTAAATGAGAATGAAGTGTGAATAGTGCAGCAGCTGCTGTTATGAAACAGGGCCTTTAGGGGGAGCTCCATCTCTTGTCTCAGCACTATTCAATGGAGGAGTCATGGCAAGCCCTTACTACCCACCCCAGACTCCTCCTAGCTGGCGCCCCCTCCCTAGGCCCAGGCAAGGAGAGTTACTGTAGGTACATGACACTGAATCCACCATGCCAGAGGAAGCAGAGCAGGGATGAGGAGACAGGAGACTCCTGCCAGCAGGGAAACCTTGAGTCCCAGTAGGCTATGGTGGCCGCTGAGCTCTGAAGACACAGAGGCGGGTGATTTGGTGGGGCCAGGGAGAGAACTGCTTTGTCTTGGGGGGGAGGGGGGGGAAGGGGCAAAGGGGAACCTGGGGCAAAGGGGAGGGGAGTGTGGTGGAGTGTGTCTGAGCGAGTGGGGAGTTAGTAGCAGTGAGTGAACGATGAAGAGATAGAAGACCAGGAGGGGGCTGATGGTATTTGTGATAAGGGCAGTGTGGTAAGTTTCCCTGATGTTTTACAAGGCTGTAATGGTGCTAAATGTTCTCTTCCATCCCTAGAGCCATGTTCAGCTCCAAGGAGATACAGACTGTGCCCAGCAAGCTGGGGTTCTGCATGGCATATAACCAGGGTGAGAGCAGGCCAGAGACACTGGTAGGAATCTGGCTGCCAAGAGAGCTGTGTCTACACGGACCCCAGCTCTGAGCAAAAAGCTCAGCTGAAAAGTGCTTTGGCAGCAGCATTCTTTGCCTATGTCTACACTAGCACTTCTGTCCATCGGGGTGTGAAAAAACAGCACCTTGACCGACATAAGTTACACTGTCGGAAGCGCCGGTGTGGACGCGCTCCTGCCGACTTACCTACTGCCACTCATTGGGGCTGGTTTAATTATGTTGACGGGAGAGCTCTCTCCTGCGGGCATAGAGCAGGTACACAGGAGGCCTTACAGTGCAGCTGCAGCAGTACAGCAGTGCTGCTGTAAGGTCTGTAGTGTAGACGTAGCCTGTGTGCACAGCCTGTTTGGAAACCAGAGAAAGTGAGAGTTGCCAGGGATCAGACAATGAACAGGAGAGCTAATGCATTTGCTTATAATGGGGGCCTGGCTCTGCTATGATCCATCAGTACAGGAGACAGACTCCTGCTGCCTTTAATCATGCTCAAGTGCCACCACAGTCATAGGTGCACCCATCAACATGCTCTTCCGAGAGACCTGGTTTTAACCCGACGGCTCCACAGCAAGGCTCAAAGGCAAACAGGAAAGCCATGTGTAAAGACGACCAAGGGCTTACTCGGTGGGTGCTTGGGAAGGCTTCCCTCCAACACAGTGTTGGTTCTGCTTTAGCAATGTTTGTATGTAGCTGAAGTCGCAGAGGGAGGTTAGGGAGCAGAATGTAAAGGCTCACACTGGGGTGTGACCAGGACTAACATCCAGAAACAAATTCCTAGGATCCTTACTGGCTCAGGCCCTGCTTTCCCAGGGCATCCAAAAGACAAAAGCTTGTAAAAGTGGTTTGCATTTTGCGGGTTTATTTGGTTCAAATATATTAAAGCTATTAAACAAAGACCCAGCCAGCATCTTTGGTAGCCAAGATGAACAAGAATGTCCTCTATGCTCCACCATGAAGCCCCATCTACCCTCTAGGGGTTAGTAACGGCTTGGCTCTACTACTTAGAACAGGCGCCTAACAAAACTGGGCCTTGTAAAGGAGTGAAGGCTGGGATCCAGTTAGCAAAGCACCCAAGCCCCAGCATTGTGTGGCCTGGAAATGGCCAGTTTTGGGAAGCAGCCGCTGTCGCCCACCCCGCTGTACAATCCTTCACCTACTCATTACATCCCACACAGGCTTAGCTGGGCCTCCGAATCTGTAAGATACTCCAAGGTCAAGGTGAGTCTCTAGGTCATAGGAGATGGGCCCCTGGGACAGGAAATGGGATTGCAGTCTCCTAATAAATTGTTATTTTGACTTTTGCTTCTGTTTCTGCATCCTGTAGGGGGCACAGAGTTCAGGTGGGCGAGACAGTGAGTGAGCGAAGGCATGTCTGGCACTGGGGGAGTGGCTGAACCCTGTAACTCTGACAGGGTATGGTCAGCCCTGAATGGGGTATTGGGGGGGTGGGGGGGGAGAAGAAGAAGAGACAGACCCAGCACAGCCTGTTCCAAATTTCAGTCAGAATGGGGACTTGGAAATCAAGGAATGCTGGGCAAAGCTGGGGGACAGAGACTGCCTCCTTCCCAGCAAGGGAGAGACCCATGATGGGGCACAACCTCTGGGAGCTTTCTGCTAGAGAGCTGGGGGGAGTGGTGGTGCTTGTCAAGGTCTCCCACACAGCCCACATGGGGTACACAAGTGGACTGCCCTCGGGTCAGCCAATGGCTGGCGAAAAGGCCCCTAAGGGGCGGGGCATGGTCTGACAGCCAGAGAGATGGACAGACCTGAGGGAGTCTTGGGGGCCTCTCTGACATGGAGACTGGCTGAGAGGGAGCAAATCCCAAGGGGTGGGGGGGAAGGTTCGCTGGACTGTGGGGCCGAATTGCCCCCTTCGTCAGGCAGACTGAGGAGACACCAGTGACCTGCTCCCCAAGGAAAGCTCCTGTCCCTGCGACATCGGGGCTGGCGTGTGGCTGGATCCCATTGACACTCTCCCAGGAAGGATGTGTTGGGTTTCCCAAACAAGGCCCGTTTCCATGGGGCTGGTGAAGCAGTGCTCCCTCCAGAGCCAGCTGCTTCAGGCCACCGCAAGGTGTGCTGTGGCTATGCCTGGGTGCCCATCAGGGCTGGGGGTGGGCAAGGAGAGGTTTAGCATGGGGACACTTTATGCATCTCAAGGTTGGTATCTAGATGACGGAGCACCTAAAGGTACCATGGACAAAACATTGCATCTTCCCCACCCCTGCTCTGTGCTAGCCAGGCACCCCATGGTCCCTTTGCACTCCTGGGTACCCCCATCCTGGGTTCCTGCCACACCTGTGCATGCCCTGTTGTCTCCTCCTCACGGCCCCTTTCTGTGCTCCCATCACCCCGTTCCCCCATGCATGCCCTTTCCCAAGCCCATGCCACCCCTCTATGTGCTCTCCAGTCCATACCCCCATCCTTCCTCAGAGCCCTCCCATCACAGCACAGCTCGCCCAGCCAGAGCTAGTCAGCCTTGGGGAGGGTCACATTTAAACAGGATGGTCTGGGTCTAAGCAGAGTGTGAACATGAGTGTGAAGTCAGGCCAGCTGACAATGATTTGAACAGGGCCATCTTCACATACAGAGTGTTGGAATGTTGTGTTAATTAACAGGATGATATCATCAGTGCAGACAGCTCTTGTTGTCCTCCCCCTGTGGCTCAGCCTGGCAGACAGCAGCAGACAGGACAGTAGCACTGCAGTTTAAACTACTAGCTTTCCTGTTCAGAGAGAGAAGCAGTGACGCGGTCCACATTCAATCTGTTTCTTTCCTAACAGCATTCAACTAGTGTGCTTGCTAACCCCACAGTCCCTCTGGCACTAGAATGCATCACCCTGGAGGAGGCCCTTAGCAGTCAAGTAGGATTATTTCAAGGATCCTTGTTCTAAAGGATCTTGGATTGTCTCAGGCCCTTTGTGTACCCTATGGAGAGCCAAAAGTGTCAGTGCTTCCTGCTTACTACCACAATTCCAACAGATCAACACTGGCTACAGCAAAAAAACAACACACATGCTACAACAGAAGCCAAACAAGGAAACGACAACAGGTACAAATTTGCTCCCCCTTTAAAGTCTTCAGACTAGACATCCTGCTGAGTTCTTGAAAGGAATGCTGTGCACTCTAGCACACCCTTAAAGAATCCTGCTGGCTGGGGAATGCCTCCACATTATGCACTCTTTGGCACTGATACTAAGAGCAATGGACGGCAGCTGTGATAGATGACTCCATACTACAGGCAATGCGTAACCTCTAGATTACATGGTGTTACAGGGGTCAGGACTAACACTGGTCCTTTCCCCAAAGATGCTTAATGGATTCCACATTCACCCAGCCTGTCCATACAAGTGAACTCACGTTGCTGCAGGTGCCCTGATCTCAGACAGCAGTTTGTCTTCACTGACACCGACAATCAGTTTCCCAACAAGACAACAGCTGACACTAGAGCAGAGGAAATTTTATGGGTCTCCCTGGGCCATTTGTCAGTGACAGGGTAACCCCAGAGACCAGATGGTCACTACTTTATGGGGTGGAAAGACCTGAAGCCTCCAGAGATACAGGGGCTTCTGCTTGTCTTTTTACCTTAGATAACAGGGGGAAAAAAAGTGTAGTCTTCCCTGCTCTTGCTGGAGGGCCTCCTGGGTGTCTCAGAGCATGCGTATGGGGGGGCTCTCACTCCACGATGATGAATATTTAACGGAGAGATCCCTCCCCAAAACATTCGTCAGTCGTTCGTGTCAAGACACTGAAGCAAGATTTTTAACCGTCTGAACCAGACTTAACCTCAATTGCTTAGATAGGGAGTCTCCTGTGATGGCCATGCCACTACTTACTCCAGTCACTCGAGAGCCGTCCAGGGCAGCCAAGAGCCACGTCTCTAATGTAACCAAACAAGCAGAACACAGATCATTTTGAAGTCACATGGGCTACCTTTGTACAGCATAAAGCAGCACTAGAGGGCACAAGCCCTGTTCTGTCCTGTGCAGATCTCCTTTCAAAACTACTCAAAAGCAGGGCTAGGAAGCTCTTTGTACATTCAACTGCAGAACACACTGAAATGAGGAAGAGACGCTGCCGACCCTCCTGATGGCGGCTGCTGCTGCTAGAGCAATGTTTGGTACAGATACCCTCTCTTATAGGCACTCAGGGGGTAAAACGTAGCCACAACAAACTTGCCATCAAATGTCCTTCCAGTGAGCAATTTCTGGGCAGCTTTGGAATCACCAGCATTTGCATATTCAACAAAGACCTGGAAAGACAGAGACAAGACCGTCACTGCCGCTGTGTCACAGACCCCAGGGATTTCATCCATCACCCATTGATTAAGTTTGGCTTTATTCCTCTCCTGCTTAGTGAGGAATTATCCCTAACGAACTGCTTTCCTCGCCTGTAGCTCCAGAGTGCCCTCAGCAGACCCCATGGGACTAGAACAGCAGGGGAGGGGGTCACACAGTTCCTGAGTCTGTAGGGAGGGACAGTTAAGATTCTACCTACCATTCCTCATTTCTCTGGACTAGATATTTAGCGAGTTGGGAGATAGTTACCTGGTGCTGAACATCTTAACACACCCCTTTCTCACCCCACTTTCCTCATCCTCCACCCTGTACCCCAAACCCTCCCCTAAAACTAGTCTGGCATCTCCTAGGCTAGGAAACACTGACCCACCTTGCCAAATTCATGCTGCTGCACAACAGAACCAGGTACTTCTAGTTGCACAGCACTGCCCTCATCCAACATTAATGATAGACAGTGAGGCTGGTAGCGTAAATATCAAGCCCTTTCCCCTCCACACTTACTTGGCCTTTGCCAGGATTCTCCTTTGGAACAAGCATGGATACCACCGGGCCGTATTTCTGACACTCCTCTCGTATGTCTTCCAGCACATCTGAGGGAAGAGAAAGCCATGTGTATGGGCGGGGTGGGGGTGTGCGTGGTCTCACTCTAGCCTGTGCTTGGCACACTAGGGCAATCCAACCATGCGGAATGTGGGCAGCCCTGGCTGAGTCTGGGTCAGTCACTTCTGACAGTACACTTAATTCTCCTGTTTTGTCTGCGTACACCAGAGACTGTCCCAACGTTTGAGTGAGCTGGAACCTGGATGGAGCTGGCTTGGCGGGCCAAGACTGAGAGAATCCTGGCAGGGAGAGAGAAGGCGTGCCAGGGGCTGGACAGATAGTGAACTGACTTGCCCAAGCACTAAGCCAGCACTGGAGAGTTCTCATGATGGACTGAAATGCCACCTCAATAAAAATGACTTGCCCAAATACCCTCCAGTTTGGTGAAAAAATTCTCTGCTGGCCCCTGGTTTGAAACTGGCAGAACTTCTGCTGCAAGTTTCGAGGAAGGGGCAATATCAGGGTTAGCCTACAGAACGTCTGCCATTGGTCCTTAAGAACACATACTGGAAGGACGCACTGGGCCTACAGGAGGGAATTTCAGAGAGCAGCCATCCAGCTCTCCCCACCCTTCATATCTTCATACCTACTCCACTTCCCCCGATCTATAGGATCTTCTGCAGATCTCACTAGGCGCAGGAGCAGCCAAGTGCTCAATGTGGCCCACAGTAGCTCCTACAGATTTTAAAGAGGCCAGTCTGGGACCAAAAACAAGAGTCCTGGGAGAGAACCTGGGGAAGCAGGTGGCAAACAGGGAGGCCAGCTGGGGAGCCAGGGAGTCTGCTCAGCTAGCGTGCTCTCCATGAACTCTGCACTGTGTTGGGAGGGAGGCCCTAGGGAGCACAGGATCTCTGGGGTGCTACGGGGAGCATGAAGTCCAGCTCCAGCTCCCTCCTGCTACCCACTTGGGCACATGGTGGTCCTGAGGCACCCTACACTCTTGCATGAATAGTAGATCCTAGAATATCATGGTTGGAAGGGACCTCAGGAGGTCATCTAGTCCAACCCTCTGCTCAAAGCAGGACCAATCCCCAATTTTTGCCCCAGATCCTTAAATGGCCCCCTCAGGGATTGAGGCAGCAATCCCATCATGGTGCCCAGGAAAGTACTTATCCCATGATCCTCCAGCTCTTCTTGAACCCCATTAACTTCACCTTCCCCACCAGAAGTCAAGCACTGCAGGGAAAGCCTCAATGTGGGGGTGGGGAACTGCTATTTCTCCCTAGCAGCTGGGGTGTCTCAATGACTTTTCTGCTCCATTGCCCTGCTACCTGGGAGGGGGCAAAGGCCATGCTGCTGTCTGCCTCCCCTGGTGCTGACTGTCCCCATGCCTGCCCACCAGGAGAGGGAGGCGATTGGAAGACTGCCACAGGAGAAGTACAGGAGCATTTAGACAAAGCTGCTTCTGGGAGGCAGCGGCAACCTGGTGTCAGACCCAGGAGCATGGAGGCTGGGGAGGGGGCATTGCTCTCTGTTCCCAATACACGGCAAGGGGGCTTTTGTACCTGGAGTATTCCCAGCCCCCAGAAATGGCCTGCACTCAGTGGGCCACCCACTGATTCTACTTGTCCCAGAAGCATCAGCAGAAAAACCTTGTTATTTAAAGGGGTCTCTGTTCCAGACAGACAACCTAGAGGGTCTAGCAGAGCGCTATGTCCTTCAGTCACCAAGTCTCTGCTACATCACAGTAGAAACAAGCACTGTCTAAGACAAGGGTGACAGCCTGGGTCCCCCAGAGGGGAAACACTTGGGGCACTAGTGCCATGGACTAGACACCAGTGGCTGCACTGCTTGCTCAAAGGAATGGGGATCCCTGGTGTGTTCCCAGTCCTGTTCCCTGGTGTGTGCACTCACTGATTGTTTCGCACAGCTAGAAGTTCCATGAGTGCTCTATACTGGGTTATAATGTCACTTAAAGCAGGGAGGAAACCTGGCTGCTACAAGCCAGGCTCTTTGTGAGGAGAGCTCATCCCATACCCTACCCCCCAGAGGGGGCTCTCCTAGCTTTCTCCGAGTGTCTGCACTTTGTACACAACATTGCTAATATCTCACAATACAAATAGGTTATTTTAAATCTTTGCTGATGTCTGAATGACGTGACAACGCATTTCAGCAAACCCCCCTCCTTCCGCCCTGTTCTGCTCATGCAGGAGTCTGGCACCACTTTGACCCATTGATTATGTGCTCAAGCTGCCCTTCTAGCCATCCATGAACTTACTCCAGTCTCCATGTCACCCTCTCTAATCAGCTAGGCCCAGTCTCTTCTCAGAGCATTCTCTGCAACTCTTGCCATCTGGAATAGCCTTCCTGTACCTGTTTCAAATCCCAGCCAAGTTTCTTAGCTCCCTTTTCCCTATGCCTCTAAACTCTCACCCCACTCTGATCCTGACAGCACTCTGGGATGTGGATTTGTATGACAACATTACTGCACTGCAGTCTGTAATACAGATACCAACCTTCATATTCTTCTTCACTCTGAAGAGAAGTGTCATTCAAGACATTAAGCAGCCTTAGCACAGGAGTCGGAAGCATCACCAGATCTTCAATATGGGGAGCTGCTTTGCCACCACCCAGTTCCATGGAAGGAAAGGCATTAAATGGGAAAGCAGGGAGAGGGGAGAAAGGCTGTATCAGTATTTACACTTTTGGAGCTACAGTTCTGTTTCCCCTCACCACATACATGCATTACACCCTGTAGCCATGCTATGTGCATCTGGCCTCAATCTGCAGATTGACCAACCTCCCTTCCAGAGGAAGGCTTTGAGTGCAACCTTTGAGACCCAAAGGTTAGTTTGTCCAGAGACAGTGGCTGAAAGTAATTTTAAAGGCACAGAAGCAGTGTGAATCAAGTCTGAAATTATTGCTATTCATCTTGGATTCAGACATTGACAAGGGCCCCCATGGCCTAGGTAGCTGGACCAGATGTTACTTGTATCACACCTGCTATATATGAAGGGTGGGGGAGTAGCTCCCTTTGATGGACACCCAGCTAGCCTGTTAGCTGTAAAATCCCTTTTGGTCTGTTCTCTGCTTGCTTTACCTGTAAAGGGTTAACAAGCCCACAGGTAAAAGAAAAGGAGTGGGCACCTGACCAAAAGAGCAAATGGGAAGGTAGAACTTTTTAAAATTGGAAAATAAACTTTCCCTTTGTCTGTTGTTCTCTGGGCTGCAGGGACACAGAGCAGCAATGCTATAAGCAGAAATGCTGTGTAAGGTTTGAACCAGGTATGAAAAAGTATCTTCCATACCTAGAAGAAATAATTTGGGATAGGGAATGTTTAGTTAAACACTGTCAGGTTTATTTCTTATTTTGGCTTGTGGATCTCCTCTGTGCTAACCCCAGATGCTTTTGTTTCCTTGTAACCTTTAAGCTGAACCCCCAAGAAAGCTATTTTGGATACTTAATTTTTGTAATTGTTTCTTTTAAGATCTAGCAAAAGGCCTAAGTTCCAGATGTATTTTCTTTCTTTTTGTTTTTAATAAAATTTACCTTTTTTAAGAACAGGATTGGATTTTTGGTGTCCTAAGAGGTTTGTGCATATGCTGTTTGATTAGCTGGGGGCAACAGCTAATTTTGAGTTTAATACAAGCCTGGAGTGACAAGTATTAATTTTTAAAATCCTTGCGGGCCCCCACTTCCTGCACTCAGAGTGACAGAGTGGGGATTCAGCCTTGATAGCAGGATATAAAGCCCTTCTACCCCGTCCATGAAAGGACAGTTACTCATCTTGTAATTCTACCTCTCTGTACGTTCCATTGCTGCAGAATCCCCACTCGCGGGTACCATAGAATCATAGAATATAAGGGTTGGAAGGGACCCCAGAAGGTCATCTAGTCCAACCCCCTGCTCGAAGCAGGACCAATTCCCAGTTAAATCATCCCAGCCAGGGCTTTGTCAAGCCTGACCTTAAAAACCTCTAAGGAAGGAGATTCTACCACCTCCCTAGGTAACGCATTCCAGTGTTTCACCACCATCTTAGTGAAAAAGTTTTTCCTAATATCCAATCTAAACCTCCTCCACTGCAGCTTGAGACCATTACTCCTCGTTCTGTCATCTGCTACCATTGAGAACAGTCTAGAGCCATCCTCTTTGGAACCCCCTTTCAGGTAGTTGAAAGCAGCTATCAAATCCCCCCTCATTCTTCTCTTCTGCAGGCTAAACAATCCCAGCTCCCTCAGCCTCTCCTCATAACTCATGTGTTCCAGACCCCTAATCATTTTTGTTGCCCTTCGCTGGACTCTCTCCAATTTATCCACATCCTTCTTGAAGTGTGGGTCCCAAAACTGGACACAGTACTCCAGATGAGGCCTCACCAATGTCGAATAGAGGGGAACGATCACGTCCCTCGATCTGCTCGCTATGCCCCTACTTATACATCCCAAAATGCCATTGGCCTTCTTGGCAACAAGGGCACACTGCTGACTCATATCCAGCTTCTCGTCCACTGTCACCCCTAGGTCCTTTTCCGCAGAACTGCTGCCTAGCCATTCGGTCCCTAGTCTGTAGCTGTGCATTGGGTTCTCCCGTCCTAAGTGCAGGACCCTGCACTTATCCTTATTGAACCTCATCAGATTTCTTTTGGCCCAATCCTCCAATTTGTCTAGGTCCTTCTGTATCCTATCCCTCCCCTCCAGCGTATCTACCACTCCTCCCAGTTTAGTATCATCCGCAAATTTGCTGAGAGTGCAATCCACACCATCCTCCAGATCATTTATGAAGATATTGAACAAAACCGGCCCCAGGACTGACCCTTGGGGCACTCCACTTGATACCGGCTGCCAACTAGACATGGAGCCATTGATAACTACCCGTTGAGCCCGACAATCTAGCCAGCTTTCTACCCACCTTGTAGTGCATTCATCCAGCCCATACTTCCTTAACTTGCTGACAAGAATACTGTGGGAGACCGTGTCAAAAGCTTTGCTAAAGTCAAGAAACATGTTCAAGCAGGAGAGGGCCTACACACTCCCTTGATCAGCACAAGCTCCTTCCATTCTCAATGTCATGGCCTCAGTTCCCCCAAGAATACTTGCTGTCAGTTCCTGAATGCATGTGAAGTAAGAGCTCCCTTCCAAATCCAGCTGTGCACAACTACAGCATGAGAACTGCACAATTTATGGTATCAAGGGTGAAAGAAAAGTGCTGGTTTTTTTTAAATGCAACCCTTTGCCTTAGTGTATTCTGGGGAGGTGGAAGGACAGGTGAGTGAGAACCCTGTGTGAGCTCTTCACTGAGCAAAGTAAGCTTCTCTTCTTTAAAGGCAAGTTGCCAAAGGAGTCCCACTTTTGGAGAACAAGAAGCTCAAGGGATGCCTAGAAATCCTGCCATGTGCACTCTTGCTGCAGTGTGACCAGCTAGGACAGCAGGCCAGCACAGAATAGCAAGACCCTAAAGAATGGTTTGTTGTCAAAAGAGAACCAAGACCTCAAACAAACCCTAAAACAACAAGAACCTCCCATACCTTCAAAGGTATGAGGTGGGGTAAATTCCATAACAGACCACAAGGCGGATTGTGGATTGAGACCATGGCAGTCTGGCCCACCTTCCCTCAAGGCCCTGATCTGTAGGTTACAGCAGCCAAGAAAGCAAGGAGGCAGTCCCTGGAGCTTTCACTCAGCTCTAACTCTGCCCAGCTAGTTGGGGTCCAGGAAAGGCTTGGAGATGAGCTCCTTTAAGGGCCCTATTCCATGTAAGACATACCCATAGGGCCTTCCCAATTAAAGTGGGAGGGGGCAGCCTCTCTAGGATGGATGCGTAGAGGTGTCAAGGAGAACGTTAACCAGCTAAGCAGCTATCTGTCCTAGAATGATTCCAGACCACCACCACCACGCTAGGCCTGTGTCAGGAGGTGCTGCAGTCTAGAGCATGAGTGGAAGGAACAAAGAGTTAACAGGCAATGGCTGCTTCCAAAGGGAGCCGATCAATTTAGGAACAAACACTTAAGAGTCACTCCGAATGCAGCGGAGAAGGGGAAGAGCTCCTGTATAAACTACTGGTCAGAGGGCTTGTCTATGTGAACATTTAATTCACAGCAAGCTGGAGTGTGAATCTACCCCCACACTAGCCTGCCATGGACTAAATGTTCATGTGGACTCTGCTGATTCGCATGAACAGTTCGTTAGCATGATTTGATTGAGTCCCATTTCAAAGTGGACTAGATCAAAGTGCACTAATAAACTGTTCATGTGCTTCAGCAGGGTCCATGTGGACAGTTACTCTGCGGTAGGCTAGTATGGGGTAGAGTCACACCCCAACTTGCCATAAATAAAATATTCCTGTAGACAAGCTCTGAGTTTGCTGAGACAGGACTATGAACCTCTCAAACCAGACGCTCAACATCTTTGCGAGGTTCTGACTCACTGGAACGAGTCAGACATGGCTGAGTGGCACCACACCCCATGAATTCTCTCTTGTGACCTGGACGACTCCTTCATGGGTGGCAGGAAGCTACAAGGCATGTAACACTCTGAGCCATGCCCAGAGAGCTTTGTCTTGGCAGGATGCACTGCCGATCTGGAGTAGCCAGATGCTGAATGACGCTGTGATCATTCCCTCATTGCTATGGGACCAGTCACTGACATCTGCAACTGAACTGAGAGGCAACACGCAGGTAAGTACAGAACTGAAGTGTTGCTCAGATGGTCTCTCACTCCTGGACAGGACCCCTGCTACCAAAGAAATGGAGAACAGGTATACAGGTGCATCTTTTTCTGCTGGACAGAGGACACAGACTGCATGGAACAGCCCAGCACCATGAACTGCCAACTAGCAGCTCCTCCTACAGGTAAATGACAGAGAAATGGCATTTCTCCAGAGACCCACTGTTACCTAGTTCAGAAGCTAGCTACTAAGTGTCTCCAACCCCAGTCCCTGTCTTAAGGAGGGGCCAGCCCACAATACAGCTCACAGCAAACAGTACCATACTCATGGGTAAGGCCCTACCAAATTCAGTCCATTTTGGTCAATTTCATGGTCATGGGATTTTAAAAATGGTAAATTTCATGATTTCAGCTATTTAAATCTGAAATTTCAGGCTGTTGTAATTGTAGGGGTCCTGACCCAAAAAGGAGTTGTGCTTGGGGGGTGGGGCGTCACAAGGTTACTGTAGGTGAGGTTGCAGTTCTGCTACTCTTCTGCACTGCTGCTGGTAGCGCTGCCTTCAGAGCAGAGCAGCTGGAGAGCGGCAGCTGCTGGCCGGGAGCCCAGCTCTGAAGGCAGAATTGCAGCCAGCAGCAGCACAGAAGTAAGGGTGGCAATACCATGACCTCTTAAAATAACCCCGTGATTCCCCTGCAACTCCCTTTTGGGTCAGGACCCCCATTTTGAGAAACGTTGGTCTCTCCCCATTAAATCTTTATAGTATCGGGTAAAAGCACACAAAAGACCAGATTTCATGGTCTGTGACGCATACTTCATGGCTGTGAATTTGGTAGGGCCCTACCCTTGGGTAGCTCCAGCACAATGAACTGACTTGTGGAGTGAGGGTATCACAATGTGATTATAGATAACAAGTCTGTCACCAGTGCAGCCAACATCTATGAAACTTCCCAGAAG